ATTTATTTATTTTTTAGTTCTAAAGCAGTTTAAGATAACTAATTACAATAATTATTCTACATTTGAAAATTAATATGAATATATTTTTTTCGTATTTATTTGAAATAATTACTTCACTAATACAATTTGTTTTTTTTTCCTAGAGTTCACCAAAAATGAGTAGTGACACACAGCTAAACACTATAGATAATGTAGGTATATCTTTTGTATATCTCTTAAGCTCACTGCTAGTTTTAAGTTTTACAGTAAAATCTCATCACAGCAGGAATATATACAGGGTGCACGACGCATCAGTGTCCTGAAAAAACTCAATATCAGGTTTCATATACCGTACGATCCAAAAAAACGGCATCCAGTTGGCTTGGAAATGACGAACATTGACATTCCTCATATAATTTTATATATAAAATGACAGCAATCTTTATTTCATAGCCATGGGCGACGCCGTTTTTTTTTCGATAATAGGTCTGTTCTCAGAAGAATCCCTTACTAGTCAGCACGTTTCTCATTGGTTAAAATGCATAGAAACCTGATTGTTAGTCTGGTTTCTAAGCATTTCAACCAATAAGAAACGCGCTGACATGTCAGGGATTCTTCTGAGAACAGGGCCAATATTGTATGCACCGGGTGCGTCTCAAAAGTGGCTCACTCCTATAACTTTTTTATTTTTTCAGATAAAAAAACAAGATTTGGTATGTTAGTATATGGCATAAATTAGGATTGAGTGACGTATTCAATTGTTTTTGGTCATTTCCCGTTTCACCGGAAATGACTACAACTTTTGATTTTTAAATGGCACCCTCGGTATTATTTTACTTTATTCGATAGAAAATGACATTCTGAATAGAATGACATATCATACATATGTCAACTTTTGACATTTTTGCCTAATAAAAAATCATATTTTAAATTTCAATCTAGAGTGCCATGGCTATGTTAAACACACTAATTCTTGAGCAAGGAGCGTTGGAAAAATAGATTGGATTATCTAATGTTTTTAGTGTCTTGTCCTGACCAGTTAGAAAATGCTCCAATCGTATTTTCAATCATATCTCATTTTTTCCAATGGAACAAGGGTGGCTCATTAGCATATTTGGAAAAAGCATTTTTTTACGAATAATTTGATACCACACACTTGGTATTTCGTTACAAACTGCAAGTTATAATTTCAAATAAACCATATGCGAAAATGTCAAAAGATATATGATATGTCAACTTTAAGTTGACATATGATATGTCATATTCTGAGTGTTATTTTTTATCGAATAAACTAAAAAAATCCCGAAGGTGCCATTTAAAAATCAAAAATTGTAGTCATTTCCGGTGAAACAGGTGACAGAAAACAATTGAATACTTCAATCAATCCTAATTTATGTCATATACTAATATACTAAATCTCGTTTTTTTAACTGAATAAATAAAAAGTTATAGGGGTGAGCCACTTTTGAGACGCACCCGGTATATCTACGAAAATGTTCTTTTAAAAGTATGCTAAAAAATTTGGAGTGAAAATCAAAAATAGAAAGGCTGATATGTATTTTGTAAAACTACGACGCCACCCTGTATATTTATCATCAGTATTTCACAAAAATTTAACCTATCCAAAAATGTATTAAACATTCCTGTTGTAATGGGATTATGGGAATATGCTTTAATTAGTGATGTGTCTACTTCTATTTGCTTTTTGCTAAGTTGTTAGGGCTATGCCTATGCCTATGTGACCATAATAATGTAGGCGCATGGAAAATTTTGGTAGAAAGTATTGATGGACTTTAAATTATTTTATTAGGGGTATCGTAAAAAAATAACTAACAAGGGTACATTTAGCTAGGGATAATTTCAGAAAATTTTCCATTCTCTTGATTTGCATTTTATACTTCTATTATTTAGAACTAAAAAAAAAGATTTAAAAAAAAGAATATAAGTCTATGATAGTATACTCTAACTCAGTGACATCAGTCATTTTTATTTACGGAGTTCGTTAAAAATTATCGAATTACTAATATCACACTATTAAACAATAGGGGTTGATCGTAGAAGGGTAAAAATTTAGGGTTGTATGTATTTTTAATGCCACATCATAAAAAATAATAAAAAAAATTATCCAAAAAATAAAAAACAAATTTGTGGTGGACCACCATTATCATAGGGTTATGATAATGGTAATATAATATACTCTATAATAGATAATACAGTATAATAGTAATTCTATAATATTCAGTTTGGTATTGAAATATCTGATGCTCTGTCATTTTGTTTAGAAAAAATATCCGTATTTTGAGCAAAAAAAAATCTTACGTTGGTTTTATAATATTCCTAATTACTATGGGTTCATTAAAGGGTCAAGTACAAAACTATTAAAACACATTTTGGTCAAAATCCTATGACTTCCTTTAATATCATTTAGTTTCATAATATATACGGGGTGAGTCTTAAATAAGCGCAAATATTTTTGGCGGTTAGGTTCTTTCTTACTCTTCTTATAAAAGGATTTTTTTTGAAAAATTGTTTTGAATTTTTTTAAATTTTTAGTTAAAGACATAATATCTTCATAATATGGCAACCTATATGTAGTTGATTAAATTTTCAAGTAAGAAAGCCCAGAAAAGATCCAGTGGTTCTCAAAATTTAAGCGAAAAATATATTTTTTTAAATTTTCAAAGTAAAACATCTCGGTTATTTTGGACTTATTTGAAAACTGTAAAGATAGACTGTCAGATAAAAAAACGAGATTTGGTATGTTAGTATATGACATAAATTAGGACTGATTTACGTATTGAATTATTTTTGATCACCTCCTGTTTCACCGGAAATGACTACAACTTTTGATTTTTAAATGGCATCCTCGGTATATTTTTACTTTATTCGATAGAAAACTACACTCTGAATAGAATGACATATCATATGTCAACTTTTGACATTTTTGCTTATGGTTTATTTTAAATTGTAACATGCGGTTCATAACGACAATTTGACTCGAAATACCAAGTGTGTGGTATCAAATTATTCGTAAAAAAATGCTTTTTCCAAATATGCTAATGAGCCACCCTCGTTCCATTTGAAAAAATTGAGATATGATTAAAAACCATTAGACGATCAAATCTAAGGCTCCTTGATTAAACATTAGTGATTTTAACACAGCCAAGGGTCTCTCTGGAATATGTCAAAAGTTGACATATGATATGTCACTCGATTCAGAGTGTCATTTTCTATCGTATAAAGTAAAAAAAAATTCGGAGGGTGCCATTTAAAAATCAAAAGTTGTAGTCGCATTTCCGGTAAAACAGGAAGTGACTAAAAACAATTGAATACGTCAATCAATCCTAATTTATGTCATATACTAACGTACCAAATCTCGTTTTTTTATCTTAAAAAATAAAAAAGTTATAGGGGTGAGTCACTTTTGAGACGCACCCGGTATATTTCTTTTATCGAGATTTACTAGCCCTGAAAATATTTGCACTTATTTAAGACTCACCCTGTATAGATAGATAGATAGATTTTATGACACCTATTTCACTGCGTCTTTTACAGGTCTATTGTCTATTGTGATCCATTTCTTATCTCTAAGTTAGTACAAAGTAAAAATTAAAAAATACAGTTTTTTTTCAAAAAATACAAAATTTTCAAAATGTTTTTCACGAAAAAATCTCATCAATATAATACACAAGATAAACGAATTATAAAAAGGAAAATTAGAACACTCTTCAATAATTACTTAATCATGGCATATTTCACTGATCTCCCCTACTTCTTATCAGTGTATCTGTACTGATTCACATTATAGTTGACATTGCTCTCTGGAAATTTTCCATTGCTTTCCAGTCAAACAGACTGTTTGTTTCTGTAACTGTTACTAACGTAAAACACATGTTTTGGTGCAAGTTCTTTATAACAAAACAAACATATTAATGATAAGCACTGGAAAAATTACTTCAAATCTATCAGGTCTTGAAATTTGAATTAAAAACATTTGATATTTGATACAAATATATTTATTACATACTTTTGCTATATTTTTATACGGGTTATGAACGAAACTTGGAACTGTTAAATAAATCTTACTTAAAATAAGTAGGTTTGATATAGCCTGTACCACAAAAAATATGACAGAAACATTAGGATATTTGTTGTATGTCATTTGATTTATTTTTGATATTTTGATTGTTATATTGATATATCGTATTTTAAGTATAATCGATGTAGCGTATGATCGAAAAAAAACGGCGTCCAGTTGGCTTGGAAATGACATTTCTCATATAATTTTACATATAAATATAGCGATCTTCATTTCATAGCCATCGCTGACGCCATTTTTTTTTTCGATTTATATGATAATTATTTATATTAAAATAGTACAAAATATATAATTTTGAGGGTATTGGCAACACTAGCTAAAAAAATCTATTTACATTTTTAATATTTTTTTTATTTTTAATTACTAATTACTGTCACTAAATTTTTTATATTTTATTATAATTTTGTTGTTCTTATGTATAATTTCTTTTGTTTTTATTTTGTATATCTCTTCAGAGTTGTTATTGACTAAACATAGTGGCCTCTAATATACTAAAAATAAAAATGAGACACAACTGATTAAAAATAAATCTTGAAAAAACTGAAAACAGCTGCCTAAATAACAAGATGGTCGCGAATATGGAAACGCACCTTGGTAAATTAAGAAAATTAATAGAATAAAAAAAGAAAATAAATATTACAGATAAGTAAAATAAAATAATTAAAAAAATATAGAAAAACTAACAAAATAGCAGTTGTAATTATTTTACTATTAATGATCACAAAAATAATTAAAGCATACACAAGAATTTAAATATAAACATATTTAGAGACCACCCGGTATATCAGCCACACATTTTTAATTAAAAATAAACAAAACCGTATCGCGATTATGTCAAAAACAATTACGCCATTTCAAACATTTTAGCGTATTTTTTTATCTTAGTTTAATTAATATCACTTTTATCAAAGGACAACAGCACTATTATATTATTATTATGTATATGCATACTCCTGAAATATTGCGATTTTATAAATATTTTCATTGAATAATATCATTTTCCGTATTTTGTTAAGACAAAATCGAAGAGTTTATGAAATGGTGGGGGAAATGGTCAGTAATTGGTTACTTATATAGCTCATGGCGCCTTGCAGTGGACAGTAGATGCATTTCGTGATTCAGGCAAGTCTGAAGTGTATTTATACGGTGTTCATCTTTAGCGGTTTTTAGTATAAGGGGTGTATATAAAAGTGTTACATGATGAATCAATTGAAAAACAGTTACGGAAGTATAAAAGAGGTAAGTCAGAAATTATTATTCTCTATGAAAAAATATTTTAAAATGGGAAATATACAATAAGAAACAAATAAAATACATTAATAATTAATCTATTAAAAATTTAAATATTACATAAAACTATAGTTAGATAATAAATTAATTAAATGAAGTTTTTAATAAAATGAATATATTAAAATATGTATTTTTTGAAACCTGAATAAATATTTCATTTCTTTATGGACCACATCCAATATAACACAAAATCAATCGGATTTTGATATAAAATAAGAGATAACATTGTCTTATTCATTTACTGAACAAACTATATATGTTTTTTTTTTGTTTTTTGGTATAGATTTTATTTTTGGTTTATTTGGTATAGTTTTTTTGTTATCTATTTTTATAGATAATGTTTTTTTCAAAGATAATAACTATACAGTCAGTCCAAAGTAAGAATAAATGAGAATGACAGTGATTTTATGATTTTGAATTCAGAAGTTTGATGAAACTATTTTATATATTTAAAAATAATGTTTTCAATAATTTGTGAACTACGATTAGATAAGTCTTGATAAGTGGCAATGAACTTTTCTATAAAATAAAATAAATTTTTCTCGCTGATATGCAGTTGCTATTTGTTAGTTTTGGGTCTTTCTAGCAAGAAAAATAATTTAATTTTTTGACAAAAACATGTATAGTGCAGTTATTATCAAATAAGATGTGTAAGAGATAATATGGTGGGTAACTGAATTTACATCATTATTATCATGAATGATGTCTATGTCTACGTGTAATACCCACTGTATATTTTGTGCAATAATGTGCATTTTTATAGATCAGAACATGTCAATACCTATCAAAGATACCTATTGAAATGGCTAATTCAATTGTCAAAAAAAGACAAAAGTAAATGTCCATCTACTTTCAAAAGTTCAAATCGTTTAAGAACATCAAAAAGTTATTTGATTTAAGAATTTCATAATTAGGAAATTAGCCACAAGGAGTTATAATAAAGAAAAATTAAATGAAATGAACATTATTGTTGATAGATAATAAATACACACACAGTACACACACAATACTCAAGTCAATATCATCATCATCATCATTTTGATCTTATTCAACCATTTAAAATTATAGCGCTATGTTGTTTATGCGGGCTCAAGTTATCCCTGCTAATTTCATAATATCATGGTCCCATCTCATGTTCGGTCTTCTTCTAGGTCTCTTAAGGTCCTGCCCATTTCCACTTGAGGTATTTGATTCTGTGGATGACATCTCTTACCTGAGTCTTTTGTCGTATCCACTTTGTTCTTTTACGGTCTCTCTTGGTTATTACCAACCTATTTCATTCCATTGGGCGTTGTGCGAGCTGCAGTTTCCTTATGATGTCCGTTTTAAGTGTCCAGATTTCGCATATATAGGTCATCACTGGTAGTACACATTGGTCGATTGTTTTCTTCTTTAGATAAAGTGGCATTCTAGGTTTGAATATGATTGAGTTTCTTCCATAAGTACTGCATGCTAACTTAATGCTTCTGTTGATTTCTGGTAGTAGAGATCCCGAGCTGTGTATTAGCTCGGGTATTAGTTGTCCTAAATATATGTATCCTTCTACTATTTCCAGTGTGTTATTTATTAGAATGTCTTTTCTGTCCCCTAGTTCGTTGTACATTACTTTAGTTTTTGCTAAGTTTATTTTTAGACCCACTTTATTGCTGGCTGTATTTACTTCGTTAATTTGTACTTGTACTTCAGGGCTATTATGGCAATTAGGACTATGTCATCAGCGAATCTTAGATTATTGGGATATTCTACATCTATTTTTAATTCTTTGTTCGTCCAGTCTGAGTCAATAATATAAAAATACAATATTAAAAAAACAATATTTTTACATTTAAAATCATTAAGCTTTGACACAAAAACAAAAAGGAAAACTTTTCCCCTTAAAAAAACTAAAGAAATAATAGTAATGACAAAAAATCTTTTTTTTTAATATGTACAGGGTGGCTCGAATTCGACGCTCATCATTGGGATTTCGGAAACCATAAGAGATACAGGATCGGTTAAATGGAGACAAAGTTACAATTTCATGCTCAAGAAAATGCCGTATTGCATTTTTGAATTTTTTTTGCATAAAATATTCTGGTGATGGAATTTTCTGTACGAAACGTCCGCACATATTATAGTGTCTATATTTAGTGTTTTAAGAGTGATGAAAGGATTTAATTAAATTGAAAAAAAAATGAGGTCCGTATTTAAAAAAATTCAGTTGATGATGCCCATATAACACAACACAATCCTATAAATATCTTGAGGATATCCACCAAGGATATAGTAAATATCTTAGTGATATCCAAAAACCAGAGGAGAATATTTATGGGATATCCAGATGGGACAAAAAAAGTCATCTTCAAGACATCCCTACGCAAACCTTTTACGATTATTTGGGATATTTATAGGATAATACAAGGATGATGTTGGGAGCATTATAGAATATTTTTAGGACATTATATGAGGACTGTTATTTGACAATACTTCCTTCATCCTTAGTTTATAGTAAAAATGTTCGAAATTTAGTTTTATTTAGCCACATTTTGACGTTATTCATTGGATATTTTTATTAACAGCTCTAAAATATACCTACATATTATGTCAATGAATTTTGCGTCAAAATTTAGAAGTTTATTTGTAAGAGTTAAGAGCTTTCAATTTATATTATACCATCAAAAAAAAAACGGCGTTCAATTGGCTTAAAAATTACGATCGATGTCATTTCCCATATAATTTTACATACAAAATAACAGCAATCTTCATTTCCAAGCAACCTCTGACGCCGTTTTTTCGATCGTATGGTAATATACCATATTATACTACCCTTTATGGAGTCTAGCAGCAACAGTTTACATCAAAGTTAGCACACAGGGGATATAGGCATAATTTCTAACACCACACCTTCCAGAAACTCACAATTTAAACACAAAAATAGGATTTCTGTTCGAATAGATCAAACATGAAAATAGGTTCAGGGATAAAGAACAAGCGCGTTTCAACAAATTTTCACCTATAATTTTGTCATAAATTTTTCATCTTTTTCATTGGGAGACCATGAGTCGTTCGTCGTTTTTCGACATTAGTTGAGGTTAGGATAGAACTTCTGCTAGAAAAAGGCTAGAACTATGAGTATAAGAAAAAACTAAGTCAAACTCAACCAGTTTTGTTAGTTTCAGTGATTTTTAAGCCCATTCAACATCGACAAACGACCGAATTCACCTCGAATTTCACTAAATCAAAGAACTGAATAATACAGGATACAAAAACAAACAACTGTCGAGATGGATTGTGGGAAATTTTTTTGCGCGGGCGTTTTAAATTCTTTGTATTACTGGGAGTGGCCAAGCTCCTAAATAACCAGATTATCCAGAAGATACCAAGTTGCCTTGACGTAATATATATCTATCTGTATGGTTTATTGCATTTTATGTAATACAAAAAGTAGTAAATTATTTATTTTTCCTAAATTTCTAGACCATATTGTTAGGATATTTTATTATCATGAGCATGTTTGGATATCTCAGCTGGATGTACATTAGATATACGACAAAGATATCCACAGGATATTCTATTCTGAGACATCTACAGGATTTCAGGATGATAGGGGATATCCTATAGATATCTTTATAGGATGATCTTGTAGTGGGACATTCCGACATTCTATGGATATCCTGCGGATATTGTGTGTTATATGGGTGGTCGCCAGAAGCCGAAACGTCAGAGTCAATATTTAATCACACAGAGTTATAGAGCAGAAAAAGTGGCCATGAAAATGTGTTTTTCAATTTAAGTTATCTTAACAAATGAAGCCAGGAAACAATAGAAAACAAAATTGAGAATTCCGTTTTTTTTTCGAATATATTCGGAAGTATTCGGAATTTTTCAAAATGCAATACGGCATTTTATTGAGCATCAAATTGCGCAACTTTGCCTCCATTTAACCGATCCTGTATCTCTTACGGTGTCCGTATCCCAATGATGAGCGTCGAATTCGAGCCACCCTTACTTAAATAGACAATAAATATTGATCAGAGCAGAGCGAACGTATATAGAAAACCCCCTGAGAAACTTTATGAAAACCGCAATAAGCGAAAAGAAAAAAATCTAGTACCGCAAAAAAAATGAGACATTCTCACACATTTTGTCTAGTTTAATAATTCGATATGAGTTTTTTTCTTTTCAACTAAACATAATTTTTGATAGAGGAATCAATGTGATTAGAGAATTAAATCGGCGTCTAGTCTGGTCTATCATATCGTAGCATTAACCGAAGAATGACAAAATTTTCCGTCAGAACTGTGATAAGCCTCGCAGTCGCAATTTTTGTTTGTCTTGTCGGTGGAATTCGATAAATAATGATGTTACATCTGAAAAACAAAAATTATCGCCACAGACTTGACGGAACATTAGACCACTGTATCTAGTTGCAGATGAAACCGGTTTAAACACTGGCCAGTGTCAAAGATAGGTCATCAGAATCTATATAAAATTAAGTGACTGACATACTGATTAATCACGATCCTGCTCAAACCACTCAACGTAAGAAGCTCAATTTTGGCATACAAGTTGATTCTAGGGTGTAGAGTAGAGGTTCGATAAGAAGAGATTTTTCGAAATTCCAGTTCCAAGAGGGTGAAACCACCCCTCAAATATTACAATATTTTTTATTTAAAAAACGGTCAAGTTTCCGGAAAAACGCTTAAACACGTATATTTTATTTTGTTTTTTTACATATTTTAAGATTTTTTAAAAATGTATACAGGGTGTTTTGAAAAATCTGGTCATTGATTAATCACGATCCTGCTTAAAGCGCTTGACGTAAAAAGCTGATTTTTGGAAAACAGATTGACTTTAGGGTGTAGAGGTTCGATAAGAAGGGATTTTTCGAAACTCGAATTCTAAGGGGTAAACTATCCCTCAAGTATTAAAATATTTTTTATTTAAAAACCGGTGAGTTTTTCGGAAAA